GGTGGCAGCTACAGCACAGCGGTGACAGCAGGGATGGAGGCCCGGCGAGGTCCGGCAGAGCGCGCCCTGCACTGGGGCCTCCCAGTCCTGACCCTCGGCTTCTTTTTCCTCCACTGTGATCCCTTCACCTGCTTCTCCTTTCTCTCCTCTCCTCCACCCGCCCCAAGTTTCGAGGACTCCACCCTGTCCACGGCCACTACCCTTGAGTCTATCCCCAGCTCCACGGGAGAGCCGAGATGCCAGCGACCCCGCACCCTGATGCGGCAGCAGAGCCTGCAGCAGCCGCTGAGCCAGCAGCAGCGGGGCCGGCAGCCCAGCCAGCCCACCACCAGCCAGAGCCTGGGCCAGCTGCAGGCCCACGCGGCCTCGGCGCCGGGCCCCAACCCCCGGGCCCACGGCCGGGGCCAGGTTCGGCAGGGCGCCTCGGCCAGCTCCAAGTACCGGGCGGCCGGCGGCCGCAGCCGCTCCAACCCGGGCAGCTGGGACCACGTGGTGGGGCAGATTCGAAACCGAGGCTTGGACATGAAATCCTTCCTGTAAGTCCCCCCCTTGAGCGGGCCGGCCCCCACCTCCCGACCCAGCCTCTCTCCCCTCATCTCCTTGGGAGCGGCTGGCCCTGCCCCCGGCTCCTGGCCCTCCATCTCCGCGGCAGGGTGCCGAGCAGACTCGGCCCACCCCTCCCCAGCCTGCTGTGGCTCGAGGCTTCGTGCCTGCAGCCCCCCATGGAAGGATTCTTATCTGGGCCACCCCTCTGAGGACCCCGGCTCCTCCCCCTTCGGTGCCTCCCGGGGCTCGGAGAAGGTCCCTCCCCCAAATGTCAGTGGGGACACTGGACAATGCCATTGAGACCTGAGGCCGCCTGGTCCTCCTCCTCTTCCCGCTAGTCCCAGGCTGCTCCTGGCCTCCCTGCTAGCCTCCCCCCTCCCAAACCTGGGCTCTGGCCCTGCCTCCGAGCCTCCAGATCACCTCTTCCCTGTAACCCGACTCGGCTCACCTTCCTGCCCCGCACTTCCTCCCTCCCTCTCACCGTTCCTGCCATCAGCACTGTCCTCTGCCTCTCTGACCTTCTCCAGCCACCTGTCCTCCAGCTCCCAGAATGACCCATCCCCTGAGGACAAACCTCAGATGTTCCCCCCAAAGCTTTAGAAAAGGTTCTTTGTCAATCAGAGGCTTCTTTCAAGTGTACAGGCCTGAGAAGTAACCGCACACCATGGGTATCTAACTGTAGCCATTCCTCATCCCCCCGCCATCCCATGCTGCCCCGCCCCACAGGTAGGGGCCCTGCCCAGGGCACCCCCCCCCCAACCCCGGCATCACTCTGGCCATCGGCACTCACTCTGAGCCCAGAGCAGACCTGGGCTTTTGTCCCTGATATCACTCGCCTCCCCCGGCCTAACATGACCTTCCTTCCAGGCTCTGGGGATTATTCCCATCGCCCAGGTCTTCCCTGGGAGCACTTTTCATGGAGCAAGAGACCAGCACTAAGCCTGGGAGAGGAGAAAGGAGGAGGAAGGGGAAGGGCAAGATGCAAGGCCCAGCTCATTGGCAAGATGTGGGGATTCTGAAGGCAAGCAGGTCCCTCCGAGTTTCCTAGCTCTCCAGCTGAGACCCCAGCCCAGGCTTCCAGGGCAGACGGGAGTGCTGTCCCTAGGAGGGGCACCCCAACAGAAGAGGCCTTGCCATGCCAGCTTCCCATGCCCGTGCAAGCGGCTCGTGGGCCCGGCTGGCAGCTCGTGCTGCCTGTGCCTCTGCTTGGTCCATCCAGGCAGCGCATCTGCCGGGGCTCTCCCCGACCCAAGGACCCTTGGGGATCCAGCTGGTGCCTGCATGAGACAAGATGCCCAGCAGAGCCTCCCGGCTTCCGGGCGGCGGTTTGTTTGGGGACGGATACAGTGGCACTGGTGTGGATTAGGAGAGTCGAAGGAATTGGTTCTTCCGTGGCTTGAACAGAACTGGGAGCCGGCGGGCCCCTGCACCCCTCTGCTCCTCCTGCCCTCCAGCTGCTCTTTGCACAGCTGTCACCCTGCTTCCTGTTCTAGCAGCCATCAGACTGGGGCAGGGGCCGTCCCCAGGCCCTGGGAAGAAGGGAGCCCGCTGCAGGAAAGCCTCTGTGTACCGACTCCCCTACCCGCTGCTCCCCTGCTCAACTGGGATTTGCTGAGTGGTGCCCCGTGCCAACATCCTCAGTCCACACTGCTGCGCCCACCACAGCTTTACGGGCCCCTCGCCTGCTGGCCACCGCTAGAGATCACCCAACCCCCCACCTCCTCCACCTGTCATTCTTCCCAGCAGGGGTCGGCAAATTTTTTTCTGTAAAGGGCCAGATTATAAATATTTTAGGCTTTGTGGGGCACGTGGTCTCAATCACATTTTTTTAAAGCAATGCTTTAAACACGCACAAGCCATTCTTAGCTTGTGGGCTGTAGAAAGACAGGCCACCAGCTGTACTTTGCCCACCTCTGACCCCCCGCCTTACAGTTTAGCTGGTGTGCTTCTGAGGCCCTTTTCTTGCCCCAAATGCTGCTGGTCCACAGAGACAGCCAGGGCGGGAGGGCTAGCCAGGCCTCCCAGGACCCCACCCCCTCTTGCAGGGAGGATGATGTTCCTCCAGCTTAATGGGTGTGACCCCCCCCAATACCACCAGCTTCTCCCCAGACTCTCCTCTTGCCCCTCGTTCTCACCCTTGCAGCCTGTGTTGCTGGGGAGAATGACAAATTGGGAATTCATGCAGAGGAGCCGTTTTGTTTTTAAGAAGAGCAAAAGGAGTATCTGAAAAATGCATTAAACAGGGAAAAAACATGTTGTTTTCGTTGGGTTCTCCTTCCCCCAGCTCAACCCAGCTCCCAAGCAGCCAAATGGAATTTTACCAACAGTAAAACAGTACCGATGGGCAGAGAACAAAGAAAACGAGGATTTGTCCTGAGGGAAGGGGGAGTTGTTACCCAAAAGTTGGAGGCCAGCATGAGTGTCAGCCTGGAGTAATGTGCCCAGGACAAAGATGCATGACATGGAAGGCGGTGCAGCCACTTAGCTTCCTCCCCTCCCCGGGCCCCCACTGCCATCTCCCATTTTCCCTGCGCCCCCCCTCCCCCCCCAGGTGCCATGTCTCACCTGCTTGAGTTCCCTCTCCGACAACCTCTCTAGGAAATAGCCACAGCCGCCTCTTCCTGTCTAAACCTTGCCCCCCTGGACGGTGGTTGAAGGGCAGACTTCCCAACCCCGGATCCCCCGCTCTGGAACATGCCGTTAGGCTTACCATCCTTCCCTTGGCCCTTCCTGAGACATGACTTCCTCCCTGCCCTGCCCCATCTGAAATCCCCTTCTTCCTTTGTTCGGATGAGAGACGCAGGGCCGGACGAGCTCCACAAAATACCCAGAAAATGCCCGTGAACTCATGATTTTGCGGGGCAGCAGGTCACCTTTTGTCCCTGGAAAATGCAAGGAGACCCCACGGTTGCCCAGGGGTTCTCTGAGAATGCCGCCTATGAGAAACGTCACACCTTGACCTCTGGCCCCATGCTGCTGCCCACATGGCAGCTCATTGTCCACCTGGACTGAGCCTCCCTCAAAGCAGGATGGCTCCAGCCTCTTCCAGATCTTCCTCTCTGCAGAAATTCCTCCAGACCTTGCCAGCCAGGTTCCTGCACTTTCTCTCTCTCTCCACCTTTGCTTTTTGGTGACTCCTGGACTGCTTCTCCAAGGAAAGGCCCCTGAACTGGACCCCAAAGCGTTGGTGGTTATTCCCTGGATCTTCAGGAAGGGGGACTCAAGAGAAGGCCCATGATGGCCAGCACACCATAAGCCAGAAGGGACTTCCGTTCTCCTCTGATGGGCTGTGTGTTCAGGGACCCCCTCCTGGTGTCAAGGACATCTGGCTGACCATGACCCAGAGATGTCTTTATGAGGAGCACAGGGTGCAGCACCCATTGGATTTCCGAACTTTCTAAGAACCTCCCACCTGGGAGCCCAAACCTGCCTGCCCTTCCCAAAGCAAGATGGCGATGGAGCCCCTCTCTCTTCTCCCAGGGGCCCAGATGGCCAGAGCGAGTAGCTCCCCTCCCCCGGCCTTCCCCGAACCTTCCTCGGCAGAGGCAGAGTCTTCCTCGGCAGAGGCAGAGTCTTCCTCGGCAGAGGCAGAGTCTTCCTCGGCAGCGTCTGGGGCACAGGCCGCTTCAGCGGGCCTCTGGCCAACCCCTTCCCAGAATCTCTCCAGAGCGTCCCGCTCGCTGGCCCTGAGGCAGGCTGGGTCTCAGGCTGTGGACACCTCCCCTCATCCCCTCCCTTCCCGCCTCCACCCGACTCTGCTCTACAACTTTTGACAGTGCTAAAGTGTGTGGTTTCTCTCCTGCAGGGCCAGTTTCTTACGCTTTTTTCTTCTCTCTCTTTGTCTCTGTCTCTGTCTCTGTCTCTCTCTTTCCCCTCCCTGCCCCCGCCTGTGGGGCCTCCTCGTTTCCTCCCGGCCGGTGGGCTGCCCACCTCGGGCAGGGAAGGCAGGATGGTGGTGCTATCCTTGGTCTTAGGGCTTTCGGAACAGGATGACTTTGCCAATATCCCTGACCTGCAAAACCCAGGAACCCAGCAGAACCAGAACGCTCAGGGGGACAAGAGGTACGAGCTCAGGCGAGGGCCTGCGGCGGCAGCGGCCGAGATGGAGGCGTGGAGAGGCTGCCGACCTCCACCAGCCCTGGCCCGGCTGCTGGATGAGGCGGCGGTGTCCTCAGCGATCCCGGAGCGGGAGGACAGCCCCCTCCCCAGCTGGTGCCCTCACACACGCCACCCCGGGCTGTCCCTTGGGTCCAAGGCCAGCGTGGCCGTCCTGGGGCCATTCTGGATCAAGCCTGCTCCCCAGGCATGCTTGCCCTCGCCCGGAGCAAGTCAGCCTTTCTGCCCCATCTCTCTGCTTGGCTCCCCCCACCCCTTGCTGCCCCTCATTTTTCATCTCTGCCCCACCCCCAACCCCGAAATCCCAGTTTCTCTGGTGGTTGGTGGGCGGGGGGGGGGATGTAGGGAAGGGGCACCAGCCTGTTCTCCCTCATCCCCGCCACCTCAACCTCCCTCTTGCCTGGAGGTCCCGCTGGGGTAACGGTAGCAGCCCCCTCCCCGCAGGGGTACTGCACAGGTGTGGCTGAGCTGCTTGGCTGATTGAAGAGGAGCCCCTGGTGGGGAGGGTGTGGGGCACGGGAGAGGCCTGGGGACCAGAAAGAACCGAGAGGCAGCCCTGAACCTGAGGTACCAGGAGGAGGGAATAGGGGGAGAGGCTGAGAGCAGGCCTGTTTGCTCAGGCGGAGCAGAGGGCTGGGCATTTAGCCGTGTGTCGCCATCAGGAACTCAGGGAAGCACCTCCTGGTGCCTCCCGTCTCAGGGGGGGCGTGGAGCACTCGTCGGGAAGGAGACGGGGGAAAGGTCGGAGGGCCGGAGGCTCGGGCAGCGTCGCAAAGGTGGGGTGATCCTGCCCTTGGTGTGGCTGCCTCGCATCACCTGGCCTTGGGCTGGGCCAGCCACACACCTGTAGTCGCAGGGGGAGGGCTCCTCACCTCGGTCAGGTCTGCTTCTCACCAGACCAAAGGCCTACCGGAGAGCATGGGCTGATGGCCAGGATGCCAGGCTTCTAGCTCTGGCTGCCAGAGACCCGCTCTGCAGACGTGGACGAGTCACTGCCCCTCTCTGAGCCTCTGCTTCCTTGTCTGTCGAATGAAGGATTGGAGAGGGTGACCCCTTCCAGCTTGGGCATGCTCAGCTTCTCATGAGAGCACAGACCCTCAGGCTGGGGCACCTGTCAGAGCCTGTGAGCTGGGCAGCGATCCTGACATTCCCTGAGGCCCATAAGGCAGGAGGGGACTGTCCCAGGCTGCCACCAGGGGCCTGTGGGTTACAGAAGCCTAGGCCAAGAGTTACACAGCTGACTGCCTCTCCCTCCAGCGGCTTCTCGCACTTTCTTCCTATTCCAAGTTCACAGTTGCATGTCTGTGGTGGACACAGCCAGAAATCCCCGGAGAGTGGGAGGGAAGAGCGGGACAGGTTCTTTCACTCATTGGCACAGATGGTGTCAAACCCCGAGCCCATGTCCTGGGTTGGGGGGGGGCGGCGGCGGGAGGAACAGAGCCTACCACCTCCAGCCCACCTGGTGCCCCAGAAGTCCTGGGCTGGGCCCCGGGCAGGCCAGAGTGCCGTGGGGAGGGGGCCAGGGGCCATGGGGGAGAGGCGGCAGGAGGGGGCTGGAGGCCTCTGGAAGCCTGCTGAGAACCCGAGCTCTTGGGGGGGTGGGGGGGGGGAAGGTGTGAAGTGTGCGGGAGCAGACGCAGGCTGGAAACGAGATTTCACATCACCCATGCGTTCATTAGCTGGCTCCATTTCCACCCACAGCCTATTTTTACCCCTGCCATGTAGGTCTCCCGCCCGTATTCTAACACGCCCATCTCTTCCGACCATTACATCAGCTGTCCCTGCCTTCCTGGGAAAGGTGGGTGTGGAGGTGGAGGCCATGGGCCCTCGCCCCCACCCTGCCTGACTCTCCAGGTGGACATATGTCATTCCCACCCGGTCACACCCACCCCACCCGTCTCACGGCCTCTGGGGTGTTCCCCAGGTGACCGGGCACTGTGAGGGTGTCCAGCACTGAGGGCTTCCTTCCCGGCACTCTCCCCCGCCCCAAGCTTGGCATCGCCGCTGGCACCACCCCACCAGGCTCTCGGCACCTTAGGGCTCCGCTCCAGAGGCTCATTGGACCTTGGAATGCTGGGCTTGGGTCAGCTGTCCCTTTCTCTTCAGCTTCTGCCTCCAGACCCAGAGTCTGTCTGCCCTTTTGCCCCGATTCCCGCCCCCCCTTTACCATCCAGCTGACCCCTTGGCTGTGGACTTTCAGCCCCTGAGGTCTCTGTCAGCGGCAAGTCCCTGGGCGACAGGAGGGCCCTGGGAGGAGGAACAGCCATTCTAATTCCCAAACAAAGAAGGGGTGCATCTAGCGGGCAACATGGAGACGGGAAGGTTGGTCAGTACCTCCCTCCTAGGATCCTTGGTGGCCTGGAAGCCCCCCATCCAGGACCTCCCAGGCCCAGAGCCTCAGTGCTGTGGGCCCCAAGAACAGAATGCTGTTGGCCCCGGGAGGGAGGAAGGAAGGAGGCCAGGACCACCCCTGGCCCCCGTGCCCTGCTGCCTTCACCCATCCTGCCCTGCATCCATCCCCATGTCATGCTCTCTGCCATCCCTTCCATCGCTCCTTGGGATCCGAATGGTGTCCACCGTGACCCCCCCACCCCCCGAGTGGGGCGCGGGGCAGGGCGGGGACCTGGCCACCCCCATCGCTCTCCTCGCCCCCAAACCACCATGTTTCCTCCGTCCCGGTGTGTGTCCCCCGCCTCCTCTCTGCCTCTCCTCTCGGCCGCCTCGCTCGTCCCCTTGTCCACCCTGCAGCCTTCTTCACTAGTCTCCGACTAACCTTTCTTGGCCTCTCTCTCTCCCCCTCTCCTTCCTCCCAGCTGCTCCTCACAGGGATGTCCCTGGGCCAGTGACGGGGCCCCTGCGCCTCTCCCTCTGCCTCTCTGTGCACTTGTCTCTCTGTCTCTCTCTGTCCTGTGACCTCCGGTAGCTTCAGTGGCGCTGACCATCTTCCCAGGCTGCTTTGCAGCTGCGCTGATGCTGTGGTGTGGCCAAAATAACTTCGACTTTCTCATACCTTCAGCAGTCAATCTGGCGCTCTCCTCCTGTCCCACTCTATTTTTAACCTGACTTTACCTCTCCAGCTATTTCGGTGTCCTCTTCCTCCCCATGCCTGTCTGCGTAAGCACGTGTCCGCGAGTGTGTGTCCCTGTGTGTGTGCGTGCGCGCGGGCGTGCCCCGCTGTGGCCGCACCTCGGGCAGGGACCCCGGGGTGGCCCCAGGCGGGGCGGGGTGTTTCGTGCTGTCTAGGCAGGGCCAGGTTCTCACAGCAGGTGTGCGTGCGTCTGATTCTCAGGGTGTCTGTCCCTGAAACGGCTCCCCACTTTGGTCTGTTTCAGTCGGTCCCGATTCACACGCCCACCTTGGCATGCCCGGGTCTCCCTGGATGTTTCCTCTCGGGATTTAAGTGTGCATCGCTGGGTGTGTGTGTGTGTGTGTGTCATCTCACTGCTCTGGTCGACCTGCCTTGTTGCTGTGCCATTCTCTCCCTGGTGCCCCCTGGGTGTCTGTCAGGCTTGTGTGCACTCGTGTGTGTGTGCGTGCGTGCGTGTGCACGCGCACACCTTGCTGTTGGGTCCTGGTATCTCCCCTCCGGGGCCTGGCAGATTCCGTGCATGTCTGCCTGCCTGTCGTGGTCAACTGTGTGCTGGCAGCTGGTCCATACCGAGGGTGTGTCTAGCCTGTGTGTGTCTCCGAGTCTGAGGCTCTGGGACTCTCAGAGCTGTTCCCTTGTAGCCTGTCCCGAGCCCCATGCTGCCAGTCTTCCAGTCTTTTCCTCGCTGCCTGCCCCACCTTTCCTCCTCATGAGATGTTCCAGCCTGGTCCCTGGGCACGCTTTTAGGGCCCCCTTCCTGAGCCCCAGCTGGACGGAGCCTGGGCTCACCACCCAGCTGCCGGGCCAGAGAGCCCAGCTTCCCGGGAGCAGCATGGAGTCGGGGTGCACACAGGGCCTCACGTGGAATGGTCAGATCTGGGGCTTCTCAGTGGTGCCCCGTCTCTCTCTGACCCTGGGTGAGAGCCTTATCCCACACGCAGTCCTCAGAGCGGGAGGCAGGTGGGGACTGGGGAGCAAGCGGGTGTAGACTCGTCCTATCCCGCAGGTGGCTGTTTAAATCTAAATTAGTTTGAGTCGAACAAAACGAAATATTCCGTCCTCAGTCGCACTGACCACTTCAAATGCTTTAGTAGCCACACAGGGACAGCGCAGACATAGAACACTGCTGCCATCGTAGAAAGTTCTCCTGGCCAGAGGTGTGTGGACAGTGGTCCTGACCTCCGCTGGTCAGTCTTGGGTCTGAAGGGCACCTGTGTGCCCTCAGGCTGAACAAACACAGGTGGGGCCTCTGGGAGCTAGCACCCTGGGTGTGTTTGCAGAGGGTAATGATGCAGAGGGGTGACCTGGACACGCCACCTGGGGAGCCTCCCCTGCCAGGTTGGAGCGAGCAGGGGTGCCGGGGGCCTCTGGGGCCAGGGGCACGCTCAGAGACCACCCTGCAGGCAGTGAGTGGGTGGTGGGGCGTTCTCTGGGGACCAGGAGGAGTGCGAGTACCCACCAATTCAGCATCCACAGGGGCAGTCGAGCTGCATCATGCTAAGGTGAGGGAGATGGGCCCCGAGCGCCGCTCTAGGTGAAAACCAGGCCTCCCTGTGGACAAGAGCTCGGCTCCTGCTGGCCTGCAGGAGGGGGTGGCTGCTTGGGTCTCAGAGGAGATGCCGCCGCCACCCCGGCCAAGGTGCCCGGCCCAGCCCACCTCCCAACCTGCGCTCATTCGGATTCCCCCCACCTCCAGGTTGCCTGCAGGAGGGAAGGCAGTGAACACAGCCCCAGTGCCGGGCCAGACACCCCATGATGAGTCTGACCGCCGGACTGAGCCGCGCTCCTCCGTCTCGGACCTCGTCAACTCCCTCACCAGTGAGATGCTCATGGTGAGAAGGGCAGGACGCCGGGGCCCCAGGCAGGAGCTGAACTGGGAGGCCGGGGCCGGGATGCGTGTGACAGTTGGTGACAGCGTGGGGGTTGTCCAGTCGGGAAGGGGAACCAACGTGGACTGAGTGAGCAAGGCTTGGGTTCTTTTCTCAGCTTTTTCCCCAGAACAGGCTCTCTGTGCCTCAGTTTCCTCATTTGTCCAGTGAGAATAAGAATGCCCATCTTCCTCCAGTCTCTTTCTGGGCTGAGTGGGGGTCCAAGAAACCCTACTCATGGGAGGGATTTTTATGATCGTAGGAGGAAATGCTTGGGGCAGAATGTGTCCCCTCTCTTGGAGCGGTGTCCCAGTGAGGGGAGGTCTGAGGTGGAGCTCCCAGTGGAGCGAGTCTCATGTCCCTCTCTCAGGGACCTCCCCTTACCCCCATTGCTGGAGGCCAGCTGAGGCCCAAAGACAAAAGGAGAGTAGGAAATTGCCCGCCCTCCCCGTCCTGATTCCTGGGAGGGAAGAGCTGTGCTGAGAGTCTTCCGTGCACACCCTTCTGTGCACACACGGGGCTCCCAGCCCTCTGGTTCTGGGGCGTTTCCACCAAGGGAGAGGTTGAGGCTCCTGTCTCACCCCCTGGTGGCAGCAGTAAGGCACAGCCTTGTACCTCACCTGTGCTGGGGGAAGAGCCTGGGGAGGGCCGGGGCCCCAGGGCGAGGACCTTGTGATGGGGCAGCCAGCGGTTTGCAGGCGGCTGTCAGTCAGAGCTTTGCCAGCTCACAAGTCCCAAGGAGGCTTAGGGTATGAGGTTGGGAACCTGGTGCCTGCTGTGTTCCTATTGGACGTGACCGCAGACAAGTCATTTCTGCTCCCTGGACCCGGGTCCCCTCCCCAGTCCCTCCTGTAGATCGAGGGAGAGTTTGTGGGCTCTCAAGCCCTTGCCAGTCCTGACATCATTCAGTTCAGAGTTCCCTTGCCCAGGCCCTGGCATGACAGCTGCCATGCTCTCTGGGGCCCCAGAGCCCCCGGGCTCCACCCTTCTACCGGTTAGGGCTCCAGCCAGCTCCAACCATCCACCCCCACTGCCCCTTTCTAGCCCAGCGCTTCTCAAATTATAATATGCACACAAATCACTGGGAGATCTCATTAAAATGCAGATTCCCACCGGGCGCCTGGCTGGTTTCAGTTGGAAGAGCCCGCAGCTCCTGATCTTGGGGTCATGAGTTCGAGCCCCATGTTGAGTATAGAGATGACTTAAGATACATAAAACTTCTTTTAGAAATGCAGATTCCCAGTCAGCAGGCCTGCGGTGGGCCCTAGGATCTGCATTTCTCTTGCGTGGATCCAGATTCGGGCATCAGATTTTCCCTGTTCTAGAGCTGGTCTCCCCTGGGCCTCTACCCACCACCCCCACCATAGGCCCCTGCACGCCTGGCCCTCTGCTGCCCTCTTGTCCAGCTCCCCCACCCACATAGGTGGGCCCAGCCACACTGTCCTCTGGATGGGCCAGCCACAGCCCGCTCTGCCTCCCTGCCCAGCCTCTTAATCGGTTACAGCTTCCTGGTAGTTAGGTTCCAAGAAGGAGCAGTCCATTCCCAGCCAGCTTACGGGCCCGTTTGCTGCCCCCAGGGAGGAACTGACAGCCTCAGGCAGAGGAAGGAAGTGTAAGCCTCAGGGCCCACTCACGGGCTCAGGGCTCAGCGGAAGCTCAGAGGTGGGCAGGCGAGGTCTAATTGCCCAGCCCTAGGCCAAAGCTGGGTCATTGCCATTAATGGTGATGAGGAAGACAAGCGGGCCCCAGGCTCTCAGAAGCCGGGGGTCAGGAGTCAGGCGCCCACAGCTGGCCAGAGGAAGGGACTGAGGGAAAGGGGTCAGAGAGGAGGCCAGGCCACACCCCCATCTGAGTCACCCCAGCCCTGGCATGCTTTTTGATGCTTGCTTCTACTGGAGCAGGGGCTCCCCCCGCACCTCGCCTGGGGCCCTGGTAGGGGTGGCCAGTCTGGTTGCCATGGAAACAGCTCCTCAAGCTGCCCCGGCTGGTTAATTAGGGCTTGGGACTGTGGTTTGGGAAAGCTGGGAACAGGCACAGAGCCAGGCCCACCTTGGGCCTCTCACCCCCAGACCACCCGGTTTGGGAACCAAGAGCCAAGTGACCAGAGGGACCTCAGACGGGGCTGGGGTCACCTGGGCTCCAGTCACCAGGGACTCCACCCAAACTACAGAAGGAACAGGAGGGGCAAGTGGTCTTTGCCGGCACTGCCTACTCATGCATGCCCCAGGCTCCTGGTCCCAGGGCTAGCAGTGGCAGGGGCCAGGCTGCCGAGGGACCTGAGCCCATTTACACCATCCCAGGAACCTCGCAAGATGGATCTTATGGTTCCGTTCTGCAGGTGCAGAATCTAAGATGCACAGGGCGTGAGGCTGGTACCGGCAATGGGCAGGAGCACGGGAAAACTTCCCTGGGTTGGGAAGCCACATTCTCAGTGGGCCTGGAGGGGAGCTTGCAGGGTTGCCTGGATCCGGCCAAGGGGCAGGAGCCGGAGGGACCCTCTTCCACCGTGAGGAAGAGCAGGGAAGGTAGTTCAGCCCCCACCCCCTTCCAGCTCCAGGCAGGACCAGGGTGTGGCTGATGAAGCCCCAGATGCTGGATCTGAGTGTCGGAGTGAGGGGAGCCGGGAGGACACCCATGATAGCTGGGCACTGACCTGGTCTCGAGTTTCAACTCACCACTGCCTCATGGGAGACTTGAGGCAAGCTAATCACCTCTCTCTCCTTGAAACCCAACTGGTACATGGTAGTGCCTGCCTCATCCAGATGTCGGAGGGAGTCGATGAGCGCAAAGCGCAGGGCACAGGATGAGGCCAGGCCTGGTGGTTACTGTTCTTAGTGTGATTTGAATCTTCTCACCTGGGGCAGGTGAGTTCTCACTGGCTTGGGGGGGATGTCTCAAAATTGCCCAGGGATGTGAGCCTGCTTTGGTGGAAAGAGTGGGCTCTCAAGTCAGAGAGGATCCATAATGCTGTGCAATCTTGGCTGTGTGACTTAACCTCTCTGAGCCAGTCTCCTCAGCTAGGGAGTGGTGATAACTGCCTCGCCCAGCTGTTGGCAGGATTCAGTAAGAAGGTGATGTGAGAGTCTTCCGCCATGGTAGGTGCACACTATATATATTCTTACTATCTGTACTACGTAGTATTTCAGAGCTTGGGGCCGCTTCCTAGGAGGAAGGAGGGGGCACAGGGAAGGCTTCCCTGTAGGGGAAGTGGGGAGAGAAACTGGGCCAGCAGTTTCGTCCTAAATGTGGTACCACAAGCCGCAACTCGGGCTCTTATCCAGTCACCTGAGGAGCTTTCAGAGAGAAGGATGCCTGGGCCACTTGGACCCCTGGGTCTGGGATGGGACCCAGGCAGCCAGGAAACTTCCCCAGGTATTCCCATGAGCAGCCACGGCTGAGACTTGCCTGGGAGACCCTCCCCCAAATTAATTCCCCCTAGTTTTTCAAAGTCAGCATGGGAAGGGGACACCCGCACCACCCTCCATGTGTATGTCCCTTGCTGGGCTGGCCCAAGGGCCAGCCCCTGGGAGCTGCAGGCTGAATGCAGGCGGGGCCCTTCCTCCCGGGGGTCCTCAGCCCTGGTGTGGGTGTGCTGTAGAGTGAGCTGAGGTGCTTTCTAAACAACTCCGCTGCCCAGGCCCTCTCCAGCCCCAGCCAGTCAGGCTCTCTCCGGATGGGGCCTGGGAACCTGTACTTTTTGTATCCCCACGTGGATCTATGCCTTACACAAATTAGATGTTGCTGCTGAAAACTCACCTCTCTCATTTTGTAAATCACATCATCCTCAACCCAGGAGACTCACTTTCCAAAGAAATATCCTGGTAAACTCTTTTGAGATGCGAACAATCTCCCTCATCTGGGGCTTTTGTGCTGGTGCATTTCACAGTGGGCCCCGCTGGGCTGTGGAAGGCGGGACAGTGGGAGGGGGAGCTCGGGATGGGGGAGGCCAAAGCAGCGTGCAACGGGAGCTTGGGGCAGGGGCAGTGGGCAGACCCAGGGCTTCCTGGGGAGACTGGGGAGTAGGGTGCACACTGCTCTGGGGTTTCGGGGGACAGGGGCTGTCCTGTCTCTGCCCCTCCCGTGTGACCTGACCGTCCTCACCCAGGTGTGAATGTGAGTGAGACGGGTCACCGCCAGCCCCACATGGTGACCAGAGGGAGAGCATGCTCTCCAGGCCCAGGGAGGCTTCCTAACTGTGCTGGGCTGTGGTGGGCGCCCCCCGGGGTGGAGAGGGGGGGGAAGCAGAACCCTCCCCAACCCTGCCGGCCTTCCTCCCCTCCCCCTCCCCGCCCCCAGCTCTCCCCAGGCTCCGAAGAGGACGAGGCCCACGAGGGCTGCAGCCGGGAGAACCTGGGCCGGATCCAGTTCAGTGTCGGCTACAACTTCCAGGAGTCCACGCTCACCGTGAAGATCATGAAGGCCCAGGAGCTGCCCGCCAAGGACTTCAGCGGCACCAGCGACCCCTTCGTCAAGATCTACCTGCTGCCAGACAAGAAGCACAAGCTGGAGACCAAGGTGAAGCGGAAGAACCTGAACCCCCACTGGAACGAGACCTTCCTCTTCGAAGGTGAGGCCGGTGCTGCCCCCGCCCCCACCCAGAGTCCCGCCTTCCCCTCCCCCATGCCCCCCACGCAGGGGCACATGTACGCGCCGATGCGCACGCATGTACGTGCCGATGCGCACGCATGTACGTACGCACTGGTGCGCGCGCGCACGCACGCACGCACGCATGCGTCTGCTGGCGTTCGCCCACACAGGCGCGTGTCTCAGCCCCGCTAACCTGAGGCGTTTCGCGTCCAGCTGGGATGAGGTGACAGGACCTACTGGTGCCGGACCAGAGCCAGAGACTGAGGAGCCCAGCGCGGCCGGCACCTGGGGTCTCAGCTCGGACGCAGGACTCGTCCTGAGGAGGGCAGCCCGGCGGGCGGGCGGCCGGGGGCGGGGGGAGGCGGGCCAGGGCCCAGAGGGGGACCCCGGGAGTAGTGTAGTGGCCCAGAGTACAGGCTATGGCCCAGGCCGGCTGTTCGAAACCCAGCTCCGCCCCCTCTGGCTGTGTGACCAAGGCAAGTTCCTGAACTTCTCTGGGCCGTGGTTTCTGCATCCGTACAACACGGATAGCAATACAAGGACGAAACAAATCAGTGAATTGTGAAAGCCCTTACAACGCCCAGAAAACCCCTTACACCAGTTTGTCGAAGACACGCCTGATCCCCTTCGCTGAGCCCTTCCCCCCGCACCCCTGCCGCACATCCGGACGCATGGGAACAGCAGCTCTGAACCACGCTCCTGGTTCCTAGAGGCCGCTGAGGCGGATGCCCTTCCTCTCTCCTGCAGACCCCCTCTGTAGGCCATCTTTGTCTCTTACCTGTGAGGCGCCAAGGTAACCAGGAAGCTGGGCTGTGTTCAGGGAGCCATTTTTGTCCCGGGCATTTTTGGTGCCTGGACTCCGCTTAGAGAAGCCATTATCCTTTCCTGACACGTTCAGCCAGTGAGAAGAAATCCCTCCAACCACCAGCTGCCTCGGTGCTCCAGAATTTTCAGTGTGCACCCCAGGGGATTTTCCCCACCTGGTGTCCCAGCCATTTGACACCCCACCCCTTCTGCAAGGTGACAGCGAGCTCACCTTAGATGAATCGTTGAGGGTGAGCTAGTGGGTGCTTGTGGGGGGCGGGGGGACCCTTCTCCTTCCCAGTTCAGTGTGGCGACCAGTTTAGAGATGGGAGAGGCTCAGCTCTCTGGAGGGGTATGAGGCCAGCTGGTGGGGCGAGATTTATGGGCAGAGCTTCAATCCCTTGGTCTCTTGGGCAGACATTTATCCAGCACCAACTATGGGCTGGGTACTGTGCTGGGTACTGGGGGGGGTTCAGAAAAGACGGGGGCACCATTTGGCCCTCAAGGCATTCCTGATCTAGTGGAGGACATAGGTGTGTAGACAACCAAGCCATACTCTGCACGGCAGATGCTGTGGGAACCCACGGTCCGCTCCCCTTGATGGTGCTGGAAAACATTTCCCAGAATAGGGGCCATTCAGGATGGGTTCCGACGGATGACTAGGTGTTTGCTAAATAAAAAAACTACCTCCTCTGCTGCTGAAGAGAGCTGTCTCTGATGTGGGGACCTCTTGGAGCCTCCAACATTTCAAGAACCATTCACCTGAATCTATGCCAAAGGTCAACTGGGCAGGTCCCCGGGGACTCCCGAGATGAGCAAGATGTAGCCCCCTTTGGTGGGAGGAGGAAGCCCTGACGGAATTCAAGGGCTGGGAGTTTGGGGAACACAGGACTTCCTCTTCCAGCACACCTGCTCCCGTCAGAGGCAGTTCTGCTTCTAGCGTCTGACGAAAGTGCTAGAATCCTCCAGAGCTCTTCCTCTCCCCACATCTTCTCCACCAGCCAGGTTAAGGCGTCAGGTGTCCTCTCTCCTTCCTGCTCACACCATGGTTCAGGATCTCACCACCTCAGGCCTCCAGGCTGACCTGCACCCCCTGTGCCTCCCAGGTTGGCCTCTCCTCAGAGGAGACCAAGCCTATCCAGGCCCAGTGACTCCAGCTTCAGCCCTTCCTCAGGCTCCTTCTCCTGGCTCCCCCTGCAGCCTCCTCACCCGCTTCCCCCGCAACACACTCTTGCCGCTCCATCAGGCTATTTGACTGCCATTTATTCATCCTTACAAGTATTGATTCACTTAAACAAATATTTATCGAGTGCCTACTACGTGCCAGAAACTGTTGGATGCTGGGATACTGTGGGTGAGGACAGAGATTGCTTCCTGGAAATCCTAGCCTGGTGGGAGTCAGGCCCAAGGAAACAGATGAGTCTCTGTTACAGCCCATGGTGCGTGATGTGAAAAGAAAGTGCTGGAATCTAGAACAGGGGACCCACCGCCATCTGGGATGTCAGGGAGGAAAGCTGAGACCTGTTTCGGCCAGGGCAGGTGGTGGAGGCACCTCTAGGCAGGAGACACCGGGTACTAGAATGCGGGAAAGGAAGCTGGTGTGGCTGGAGCCCGTCATTGAGTGGAGAGTGCTCACAAGAGGGGCCGGGAAAGGACAGCGGGCCAGGTTGTACTGAGGGACTCAAAGCCAAGGCAGGGCACGTGGCTTTTACTCTAAGTGCGCTGGGAGCCACTGAAAGGCTTTAAGCAGGAGAGTGTTGTGATGGGATTTCTATTTTTAAGGGCTCGCTCTGCTGTGTTGACAATGGACGGCAGGAGAAAGTGCGCAAGCAGGGAGGAAGGTTTGCAAACTCTGGTGACTGTCTAGGCAGAATGTCCCAGCGGCTGGGATGAGGGAGGTGGCCGTGGAGAAGGGGACAGCTTCGGGATCTGTTGAGGAACAGTGAAGGACAGGCTGATCACTGGAGGGAGAAGTGCAGCATCCGAGGACACGCGTTCGCTCCTGTTTCTGTGTCTTTGCCACTCCCCTCCACCCGAAGCCTCCTGGGGCTGGCTTTCTGGAGGCAGAGGCCAGCTCGGACAGTGCCACTTGTCCAGGCTTGTCCCGGGATGATTGGCAGTGGCGGGGCTGCCTGGGGAGAGAGGGGCCCCTGCCCAGCCACCAAGACCGACGCGTGACACAGGAGTGCATAAATGGTCCCAGTTCCGCTCTTTAGTAGCTGGGAGACTGTGGGTAGGTAATGTAAGCCGTCGAGGCTCTGTCTCCTCATCTGTAAAATGTGCAAGATGCCGTCCACCTTGGAGAGTTGTCAAGAGGGACAAGTGTGATGGTGACAGTTCTTGCTAATGCTTCAGGAAGGTCTGAATTCAGCTGTTGCACGCCATACCTCAGTGGGGTGGCAGCGGGTGGGCACGGGGCACAGGGACTTTGTGCCCTGGAACGTCGCCCTGCTCAGGCCCCGTGTGGCCCCTCTGTCCCGCTCTTCACCCGTGCTGTCTGTCCACCAGGTTTCCCCTACGAGAAGGTGGTGCAGAGGATCCTCTACCTCCAGGTCCTGGACTATGACCGGTTCAGCCGCAATGACCCCATTGGGGAGGTGTCCATCCCTCTCAACAAGGTGGACCTGACCCAGATGCAGACCTTCTGGAAGGATCTGAAGCCATGCAGCGATGGGAGTGTAAGGCCCCACTTGTGGGCCCCTGGCTTGGGGAGCTGGCAGATCAGGGCCGGCAGATCTGGTCCTAGTCCCCCTGCAACCTTGGTAATGTCAGGAGGGTGGTGGGGAAGGTGCAAACGGACACCCAGGGGTGCAGAGTTCCCACCCTTGGTCTCAGCACTGGTGCTTGGTCCCTGGGGGGAGCTGCCTGAGCTGTGGTAAAGGACCTGGCACCTGTGTAGGGAGGAGGGGTCCCATGGAGGGCAGTGCACAGAACTGCTAGGTGAGGAGACACGAGGTGTGACAGAAGTGACAGATGGGGGTGGGTGAGCACCCAGGCCAGGGCAGGGAGGGACCTGGAGCCGTGGGGCCAGCCAGAGAGTTCTCTAACTGTCCCCTCTCCCCTCGTCCCCACACCGCTCCTGTTCTCCCTCCCAGGGGAGCCGAGGCAAGTGGGGGGACACCCCTCCCCACAGCCCAGGCTCATCCCCAACCTTTCCCTCCCAGGGGAGCCGAGGGGAGCTGCTCTTGTCTCTCTGCTACAACCCCTCTGCCAACTCCATCATCGTGAACATCATCAAAGCCCGAAACCTCAAAGCCATGGACATCGGGGGCACATCAGGTGCTGGGGCTTTTCGACACAGAGGGTGGATGGACCGGGGAGGTTCTGGGGACATGATGGTCATGCTGGATGTGGAGAGCAGGGTCTGAGCTGTGGTACTCACCCCTGACCTTCTCGCCCCCACCTCTGATCTCAACTCCGCTACCCTAGAGCCCTAGGTGACCCCCTTTGGAGCACCCTCAGGGTCTGTGTCATCTTGAACTCTGTCCTGACCAGAATCAAGGAGAAGGGGAGCACTGTGGTGGGAGACCTGGGCTCCAGCGCCAGCTCAAACACCTGTCGTCTGTGGCCTTGGGCAAGACCTGGCCTCTGTGGGTCTCAGTTTCCTTGTTCATAATAGGGCACTAGGTGATGGCCAAGGTCCCTTCCAGTTTGTCCATCCACTGGTCCCCCAGATCCCTCTCATTGTTGCTTGGGGCTTTCCTCACCATCTGGGGGAAGCATACAGCCCCTCCTGCCCCAGCTGCTACTCCTGGAGAGGGAGGGGGGTCCCGGGGAGCCCCCACACTGTTCCTCTGACCTCTTTTCTACCCGTCCCCCAGATCCCTATGTGAAGGTGTGGCTGATGTACAAAGACAAGCGGGTGGAGAAGAAGAAGACCGTGACGATGAAGAGGAACCTGAACCCCATCTTCAACGAGTCTTTTGCCTTTGATATCCCCACGGAGAAGCTGAGGGAGACGACCATCATTATCACTGTCATGGACAAGGACAAGCTTAGCCGCAACGACGTTATTGGCAAGGTAGGGGCCTGGTGGGTGGGGTGACACACCTGTCCTCACAAGAAGCAACAGAGGCTGGGACGCCTGGGTGGCTCAGTCAGTTAAGCGTCTGCCTTCGGCTCAGGTCATGATCCCAGGGTCCTGGGATCGAGTCCCGCATCGGGCTCCCTGCTCC